ACAATTACTGTGTTCCTGGACTTCAGGAGTGCTTTCCACTCAGTCGACCGATGTGTTTTGTTTGAATTACTCATGTAGAACGGTTTTCCCATGAAATATGTGAACATTTTACGTGCCCTGTACTCAAACACCAAAGGCCGCGTCAGGTCTACGGTGATTTGTCGGATGGCATTACGACAAGTGGCGTTCGTCAAGGTTGCCAATTTCGTCGTGGACTGCATCATGGAGTGTTCGATTGCGGAGCCTCAGGCTGTAGGCGTTGAGTTTGTGTCTGCTGAAAAGCAAGTTGATCTTGATTATGCTGACAACATTGTCCGGCTTTTAATGGTGTTGGGGCGGCGGAATCAACCTTGAATAACCTCGCTAGAGGTTGACTCTTGATGGAAAGGAACTCGGGGTAGTTGATCATCTCGCCTACCTTGGTAGCTGAATCGGCAACGAGTGGTGCATAACGACAAAAGTCTGTTAACGTATTGTGAAAGATAGAACGGCTTTTTTGAACCTGAGACATCTGTGGAGTCAGAAACGGGTTTCCCTATTGGAAATGTCATGTTTACAAGGCCACAGTGACGGCCGGCCTATTCCATAGGAGTGAGAATTAGCCCATCCGATCTGAAAAGCTGTGTCGCTATCAAGTCTTCGATCATCGTTGTCCGCGAAGCATTGCTGGTGCTGGATGGCACCAACGTGTCCGCAACGATGTTGTGATAAACATGCCAGTTCCCTAGAACAACAGATAGCAGTGAATAAGTTGCGTTGGCTTGGGTCTGTAGTCGATTGTGTAGACAGCAGGCCAAACGTTTTTTTTTATAAAATCACCGCACTGGGGTCCGCTAAGTGACCGTTTACCATATGATCTGGACAATATATCAGGTGACCCACGGAAGTGGACGGGCAATGGACTTCGGCCCTGTCCGAGTTCAAGAACTTGATTATACCCCTAACTGGTAGTGCGAATGGAGTTGACTCACGACGTCAACCCTAGGAGGGAAACGGCGTGCATACGAGGGTAATATATGCTGTCTCTTTTCAGTGATTGGCGGATAACTTGCCGCCCAAGTTTATCATCCAGCGAGTCCATAGATTCGTTAGTACACGGAATTCGCTGATGCGCGTAGGTGATCGGTGACCAGGACCTTAAGTAGGCACTCATCTTTTGCATACCAGAATTAATTTCTGCTAAATGCAGCGGAGTATAGATTTCTCTTAGGCATGTAAACCTCATAAAAGGTGTAATAGTCTGTAATGGGAACGGCTAGTAGGAGTTGGCTGGTGCACGTATTGATCTTTGGTTAGTATGGAATGGGTCTGCAATTTTCATGCATTGGACTGGATGGCACTCTGTACTCAGTCGCGGTCGGGTTCGATTTCCACGACTGTCACATTGGAAATGGTGGAGTAGGATCAACCCGTAGAAACATGCAGGAAACAATACTTAACGTATTGCGAAAGCTACGACCACCTTTCTTAACTTGCGACATAGGTAACGTCAGAATGGGGTTCTATTGGTACTGAAAATCCGTATGTACAAGGCTACAATGACGGTCGTCTTACACTACGTATGTGGGACTTGGCTATTCCGATTTGAAGCGGCATCGTTGACTACAGCAAATGAAGGAAAATCATGAGTTGTACATGCACTGGAGAAACAATAAAAAGCAGAGTCTTACGCTCAGTTTGCCAAGACACTGCATCATCGTACCGTTGGACACTCCTTTCTCGATCCAGATGCCATTTATGAAGCCACGACAACGAACTTTTGACAAAAAGTTGACATTTATGCTAGCATCATCCGCCAGAAGACCGGGGACGCCTGATATACTATTGCACTTGCTGAACATACCTACATTACTGCTGGGATCAACGCATTCTACAGAACAATGAAAAACGTCCATCTGGTCTTGGTGTTAACACGCTAGGAAAAACATGTGCATGACGATCAGACCCTAAAGCCCCTAGCAGCAAGCAATCACTCAGTATGGATCTATTTTTACAATATTCCCGTCCACAGGAGCCAGCTTACAACTACTGAAAAACTAACTTCGACGGTCGAAGTAAAGCTGCGAATTAAGTAGATTGGTCACTGTCGCAAAGCGAATCTATAGAAGGCTGTCTAACTGCTATTAGAGAAAGACTGACATATCCGTGTTCACAGTTTGTACCACTGAAGTGTCGGAAAGTTGGACTAAACAAGCTGCATTGGTTCGACAAGGAGCATGGTAAAATGGCTCGGGGTCGGCGCAAATTGTGGGACAAATTCCTTCTCTCAAGATCTTTCAATGATTTCGAGGAGTATAAGAGACAGCGAAACCGTTGCAATAGTGCGAAAACGAGCTAGGGTCGGCATCTCGAATAGCAGCTCGCAAAGAGAGCTCCGAAAAGAATAGTTACTTACGTGAAGCGGCGCCTCAAACCAGCAGGTGATCTGCAAGTGTCAGAGGGCATGGAAGAAAAGCCCCTAACCTCTAGCTCTGAGCGTGCGCCCACCTTGGCAACGCACTTCACTTCTGTGTTTTCAAATGACCGAGTGTCTTTACCGAATTCGACGTGTATCGCGCTTAGCGAACTCGACAGTCTGGTTTGCGGTATACCAACTGCTCGCCAACCTTGAGAACATCAAACCTGCTGGCCCCGACGGACTCCACCCACTGACTCACAAGCCTATCGGCCATTATCACACCCACTGGGACTGAGTTGCTCAACAGGTTCATTGCCGAGCGAATGGAAATGTGGTTAAGCTGATTCCGAAAGCAGCTGACCGCAGCAAAGTGAACTACAGGTCGATTTGTCTGACATCTATGTTGGCCAAGGTCGCCGAGATCGTGTAGCAGGGTCTACTACAGTTGCTCCATTCAAAAGGTCTACTGACGCCTGCCCATCATGGTTTTATGCTAGGTCGCTAATGCATTATCAGTCCTACTGGTGACGAAGCATGAATGGTTGCAAACAGTAAATCAGGGGAAGTCTGTCGACGTAATTTACATCGATTTCAGTAAAGCGTTCGACAAGGTAAACCATGAGGTCCTCCTCCACAACCTGAGAATGTGCGGTGTTGGTGGATCACTGCGCCAGTGCATCAAAGACTGAATTGTTGCGCGAAAGTGTGGGTGTAGGTCGACAGTTATTTAACTGACTAGTATCGCTCTACCAGTATTGTACCCCAAGGAAAGGTGCCGGGGCCCACTCAGTCCTTAATCCATATCAGTGATCTACCACAGCTTCTTTGGTCACCGTGTGCCCTGTTTGCGGACGACCTGAAGATTTGGAGAAATTAGCACCCCAGACGACTACAGCCTACTTCAGCACGACCACAACCGTCTCTCCATATAGTCTGCGGAAGTCAGGCTTCCGGTCAACGCATCCAAGTTGGCATTTATGAGCTGGGGGAAGGGTGGTGATGCCTGAATTTACAACATTGAGGGCCGACAGCTACATCCTACATCTTCCGTGAAGGACTTAGGTGTAGTCCCGTGCTGCGATTTGAAATCTGTTGACAACACGAACAGACTATATCGTAACGGACTGCGCATGTTTTGGGCGATCAAACGCAGTTTCTGTACTTGGTCTGAAGAGGTCGCTACTCGCCTCTTTTCTTCCATTATAAGACCAATACTGGAGTACGGCTCACCTGCCTACCGCCCAACCATCCATGGCGAGACACAGAAGATCGAACGGGTCCAACACATCGTTAGCAGGCTCATTCCAGGTTTACGGGAATTATCGTACGAAGACCGGTGCGAGAAACTAGGACTCTATACCTTGTGCTATCGTCGAGTGCGAGTCGATCGCATCATGACCTACCGGTGACCCCCATGTTGTAGCGGTTGCTTCGTTTGCAAACGCTATGCAACACACGCGGACACCAGCACAATCTTGTGGAGCTGGATAAAAAACGATTACCCCACCCCTAGTGCTTCGAACGGAGAGTGGTAAGTGCTTGGAACAGTCTGCCAGAACAAGTCGTGGAGGGCAAGTCTGTACAACAGTTCAAAATGTTATTAGATTTACAGTACAGCCGCATTCCATTCAGAGAATGATTGCGCACAAGCAATGACATTTTGAATGTGTAAAGCCCGTGAAACTAAGTCGGATATTCCAAAATGCTATATATGAACTTGCCGAACGATGCGATTATCACGAAGTGCAGATAGTTTATAACGCTATTGACTATATTGCGATGGTTGTACAGGTTTATATTTCTACTTGCCCCTACATACAGTATTCAGGGAACGGATGGAAAACAATTAGTTGATGCTCTAAGGGGTAACGTTCGGCAATTGAGGCCAGATAAGCCAGTGGATGAATAAGGTAGTATTAATAACAATAACCGCCTGTTCCAGTTACTGTCCCAGTGGTCAAAATGACCGATTTACCCCTCAAAGCGAATCATTGTCCAGTTTGAGAATGCGCGTCCTAATTCCTTACCAGCTGAGGCAAGTTCTGTCCGATTAGTTAAAACAACGACAAAAAGAGCTATGGAGTCAGCGTTGGAATCAAGTAGCATCGAGAGCTCCAAATGAACCTAGCAGGAGTCAGTAACGGTTGTGATGAACGTCGCCGGTGCCACAGTCTTGCTGCCTCTAACTAAGGAGTGCAAACGTGCACCGGATGATGTAAAGATTGAGATCTTGTCAGTGGGCAACATTCAACATTTATCTGCTTAAGGAGGCTCAGAACCCACGAAGTGCATAAGTACCTCGTACTTGAAAAAACAACTGCCATACCAAACAAACAAAAGCAGGAAGTACTGACGTGAGAGTGAAGTTCTCCGCAGACAAACCACGCATTGAATAGTGTGATGCGAACGTTGATCAAGAAGTAATGTTTCCATGCCTACACCTATTATAGGATCCCCAAAGGCTTCAGCCACGGTGAGATCAAATTCAGGCACACAGGTATGTTGAACAGGTAAAACATACACGAAACCTTTATAGCTTCGACGTTGAGTTCCCCCTAGTGTCCACCTAGTAAGTCAGAATCGAGCGGATCGTAAATTGCGTGTAAGCACGGTCACTCAACCATATGTTGCTTATGCAAAAACCTGCAACAATGTGCGCAGTTTCTCGAATAGTAATAAAAATATCTATCGTCATACAATGGAGGAACACTGATGGAAAGACAAACAAGCGGAGTTCATTGGCTAGGAGAAATAAAGCTCTTTTGTGAAAAGACTTCAAAAGTACGAGAAGGAACAACTTCCAAGTGGGATAACCTGGGTTGTGGTCAGTAAGTCGCCTACATACTATTTGCGGAACCGAAGAGCAGCAGCAGTTAATCAATGCCAGGAGTTGATAATTAGCTGTGCGGTGAGCGAGAAAGGTGCTACTTGCTAAAATGTTAATGGTGCATTTACAAGCGTAAAGATAGACAAGTTGATTCCAGAACCGCAAGAATGATTGAAAACACGTATCAATATGTGTAATAGGCTTAAGTGGATCACTGGTGACATTTGCTTCATGAGTAAATATGCCACCTTGAAGATGAAAGGGAGAAACAGTGAACAACTGTGGGCAAACCGCGAGGTGGCTGAGAGACAAATAGAACAGAAGATAGATGAGCATCGCTAGCGCAGATTGAAGGCTTTGCTTCGCTGAAGACGGACCGCACAGCGAGTCCGCCATTGCACGAACGCATACAACAACATGATGCGACAAAGAAAGACACCATTCGGGAAGGTGAGTATCGGTCAGGAAACAGAGTAATGGAGGAAGGAAATCAGGTATGCGGGAACAGCTGTCCGGATGCTCTCTGTCTCTGGCTCATTCCAATGCATTCAGCCCCATGATAGCTGAGTCCGCAAAAATAGCACAGTGCGACGGAAAGTAGAAAAAGTGTTCAAGTTACGAAGTATCACAAACAATGCAGTATGACCACAGAAGAACCAACGTCTGTCTCGTGCGAACACAGGCGAAGGAATGTGCACACACCGTATGGGAAAGCGCGTCAAATAGTGTATGCAGGCGAATGAGAGCAGCCTTGATTGAAATTGTTGGGGTACAGATGCAATGTTCTATGTAGAAAGAGGAGCATTAAAAGTGGTTAACAGCACACTCGATACTGAAGACCATACGCGTCAGTAGAGCGACGCAAACACTCAGGTAGTTAAATCGAAAACCTCTGGCTCTGTCATGTGCATAGGTGTTTGCAGATAAGATGAGCTGGAAAATCGACAAAGAAAAGATGAGCCGGAGTGACGAGTGCAGCTATCAGCTTATGAAACAAACAACAGAAACGCTAGAGGCACATGTGTAAGCAAATCTGATTGATATATAGTGGAAAATGTGAAGTTGAATATCCGACAGAAGAGACAAGTCTGCAAAATCTGCTGGTTCACATTGGAAGTACATACAAAAATGAGAATCGGTGAGAACGAAGAAAAATACACAATTAAAGATCGAAGTGGCCTCGAGTCTGAAGGCGATTGCGTGTATGCAAGCACGCATGTGGGTGGCCCCATGTCGGGCAGTGGAAAACAGATCGCCAGAATACGCAGATACACCATCAAAGATTATCAAAATCAAAGATAAAAATTAGTTGATAACTCTATAAGCTTGCTGAACGATACCGATGGATAATGAATATCTGACTTCAGCAGCCCAAGGTGAGATGAATAGGAAGGGGGGAACGGCACAATCGTCTTGGTCTACCGAGTCTCACCACGGCGCCGACAATCTCTATTGTGTTGGTCAGTCCAGTGACGTAATTGGCAAGTCTCGGAGCAGTACGCGGTGCCTGGACAACAGTGGTAAAACGCCTCGTTCAAGCAAACTTGGCACCAGGTCATCTGTTTGATACGACGCACCTCGGCCTCGTGTTCGCGACGCAATTTTGCAATTAGACAGTCACGGCGAGCCAACTCTTCGCGAGCATGATCGCGTTCGGCCGTCAATGCAATCAGGCGATCAGCGTAAATGCGATGGATCTGTTCCTACAGCGCACCAGATGGAAAAAAAGCAGAAAGAGCAAAGTGAGAAGTTGCACAGCACAACCTCAAATGCCGAATATTCCATGAATGGTCGGCAAGCAATGACCGAAAGTATCCCCGTGGGAAGAGAAGTAAAAGACTGGTAGCGCAGTCCCACTGGATCGTGGTGATTATTACTGGACATGAGTGAGTGGAGAGAAGCTGCATCAAAATGCTCAAGTCAGCAGTGCCCTAGGCTGATAGGCAGCAAATAATACAAGGAGACTGTGGAACCCTAGATAAATGAGCGAGACGAGAACCGAAAAGATTTAGATAATGATTCTCTACGAATCAGATGGGAAAATGCAACTTTTAAGACATCAAATAACTTTACACGCCGTCAATTGGTGGTGCAAAGAAAAGTGATTGCGAAAGATCGTGGAATTAAACACAGAACCATGGAGGATTTGATGACGAAAGTAATGGGTCGGAAGCGACCGTGAGAACTGCAAAAGGATGAAGATAAGTAACCACGAAATCAAGTCTGAAACCCAGTCGTCATGAGCAACCAGTACTGCAGTCACTTATGACTGATGGGAGTGGCCAAGGGGACTTGTATCGAACAGAATGTCATCGTACATACCGAAACAATCCGCCATCTGATTGATAAACGTTTGGCAATTTTGATTCACTGGGAAAATGTCATTTGTATAAGAGCATAGCCATGAGGTAATCTTTGAGTACAGTGTAACGGCATGGTAATTATCGGACGCCGCACAATGAAGAAGGCTGCTGTCGGTTTACTGATTACTGGTTGGAAGCAGCAAGAAAAGAGATCTCTGTGTAGCTGCATCTAATATCACTCAGGTACGAAGACCCGTTATGTTAGAGTGCGCTCGATATACTTTTTATCGGCAAAGTGTTTATCCAGGAAATTCTTAAATTCCGACACCGACCATGCCTCAACTACGTGCTGCGGCAAGTTATTCCATACATTCACCAGTCTCCAGTCGAAACAGAGTTGGTGAACGACCCGCTTCAAATCCGGTACGCCAAGATTGTACCGGTGTCTTCGAGTGCTGCTTGGCGTGCGCAGATGCAGCAACGGCCTCAACATGGGATATTTACCGAGATGTAATATCTGGTGCATCATTATGAGCTCAACTCGCAGTCGATGATAAGATGGGGTGTAAAGTTCTAGTTTCTTACACTGGCCTGCGTAGAGCACACCTCGTAAAATTGGGAAACAGCCTGGTGGAAACATGCTGCACTCGCTCAATCTTCTCTACTTCGCCCCGGGTGATAGGACAATACACGGGAGAGTAATACTCTAACATTGGTCGTATTATTAAGACGAAGAGGCTAGTGGCAATCTCTTCGGACCAAGTGATGAAGTTGCGCCTGAGCATCCAAAACATACGAAGGTCGTTTTGGTAAAGTCTACTCGCGTTGTTCATGAAATTTAGATCGTAGCGTGAGAGTACACCTAGGTCTCGCACGGAATGCAACGGTTGACCAGCCACCGTGTAGGTTGGACAGTGCTCACACTTACCCAGCCTCATAAATTGCGACTTGACGGGGTTGTTCGGAAGGTTGACCTCTGCAGACCACGTGGAGAGGCGGTCGAGGTCCTGCTGAAGCAGGTCACAGTCATTGGGTGCGCGGATTACTCTCCACACCTTCAAGTCATCAGCAAATAACGCACAAGGTGAACAGCGTAGCTGTGGCACATCATCTACATGGATGAGAAAGAAAATCGGCCCCAGTACAATGCCTTGGGGCACGCCACTGCTCGATGAATACCAGTCGGACAGATGGATGTCGACTTTGACCCTACACTTTCGACCAACAAGGAAATTCCTGATCCATCGGTGCAACGAGCCGCCAACACCGCACACCCTCAGCCTGTTGAGGAGCACTTCATGATTCACCATATCAAAAGCCTTACTGAAGTCAGTGTAGATGATGTCGACCGACTTGCCTTGGTTTAGCGCTTGAAATCATTCAAGCCTCGTTAACAATAGGTTGGTGATGCACGAGCGACCTTTCACGAAACTATGCTGTGCGGGCGTCAAGAGGCTTTTCGGCTCGAGAAGCTGCAGAAGAACCTACTTCACGATCTTCGCAAGCGTCTTTGCCAAAACAGCGGTCAGGCAGATCGGCCGGTAGTTATCCACTTTGTTTGGGTTGCCACCTTTCGGTACTGGCTTTACGACTAAGGATTTCCAGTAGCTCGGTAATAAACCAGTAATATAGTGACCAGTTGAACAGCTCAGTTACAGGAGGCGAGATGATGGGCGATAGGGACTTGAAAATCAGTGGGTGGATTCCATCTGGCCCGGCAGGCTTCGTCCCGTCAAGAGTTACTAGCATCTTGCTGAATGCTGAAATCCAGGCTGTCAAGTTCAGCGGGGGCGGTACCCGTCGAACTCAGGACAGACACCTGGTCACTTGCAAATACGGAAGCGAAGCGCGCTGCCAATGCGGACGCACGATCTGTGCTCCAGGTTAGGGGCTGTCCAGGTGAGCTATCCAACATTGGCACATTGCCTGCAGGCCTTAGGCGCCACTTCACGTGGCGAAGATCCCCTTGGGAGCAATTTTTGCGTCGGTTGCAAGTTGCTTTTCGAAGCTTGTGAACATTTTTGTTTTCGCGTTGTTGCAGAGAGTTCGCTGTACCCCGTACGCTTTGTAATATTCGTCAGAGCCAGATAAGACGAATTTGTTTCATAGTCTGTGTTGTCGTTGGTTTAAACCACTCGTTTACCCCAGAACAGGGTAGGCAAAATTGGCCAGTAACCCGAGTCAATCACATAGTATCAGGAAGAAATGAAAATGAATGTGATATCCGACCAGAATGAAGAACTACTTCAATTGGGCACAATTGACACTCGGAAAAGTGTAGACCCTGCATCCATTAAAGGCTTAAAATAGGCCAGGTAAGCGTTAAGTGTCTCACAAAGGACGTTCTCGATGACATTCATCTGTTGGTTCCCAGTCCAAAATAAAAGGGAGCAAGACGAAGAAGTGGGTGTGTATATAGCGAAGACGGAAGGGAAGTGTGTGCGTCGGGGTAAAAATAACGCAAATTGATGGACTCAGTGCGCAAAACAGCGCACTTACAGAAACCATCAAGTGACTTCACGAAGACGTGATGAGCGGATGGCGGTTTAAACACCGGAATTCATCGAAGCGCTACGAGCGAACAGATGTGTATTGGGATCGATCTGTATTGTCATACTGAGCGATGCTGAAGCTAAGCTGTAGCAACACCTACAGAGTGGACCAAAGAAGGCGACGGTAAACAAAAGATGTTTCTAAATGTTGGTTGAGGTCACTCAGCAAGCGCAAGGAATACCTCGAAAGACGAGAGCATATCTTAGTGACATGCAAACCGGCGAAGCAGGCAAAATGAAAGATGACTCGGCTGAGTGAACAAATGGTGTGATAACAAAAAGAGTGAGAGACGCTAGCATCGGAACTGCGGTTGGGATAACAACAAGGGACCTAGCAAGATGATATTTGTTTGTCTGCAGGGAAAGAACCAGTAGAAAACAGTGTAGGTACCGCAAATTGAAGCTCAACTAAACGCTGCAAATGTTACACTGGTAGAAAAATGGGATATCCGAGGTTGTGCTACGCACCCTTAAAGTGCAGGTGCAGTGCAGGTGAACAAATCTTCTACCAAGAGATCCGATGGATTTGTATATTTAGATAGTTGCGTCGCCTCTGATGAGCACATCGTCGGGAAAGTTGGCACGCAAGGTAGGGGCATTTCAGCAAAAAGTAGCAGTACATCAGCTCTATGACTTCGCTGCCATAAACCTGAGTGGTTCTATCGGTGGGGAATAAGAAGACCGGGAGGGAGCAAAGTGCAAAAGCCTTAAGATACCGGACAAATTTAGGAACAAGGCGTACACACCTTGCCAACGTAGGACCAGGATGTAAAAGTAGTGACATTGATGATGTAGTATCCGCGCATCAGTCGTAGTTTCGCGTCATAGCCAACCTCACACTACAGATAATTCAAAAAGCACTACAAAAGGAAAGTCCGGATGCAAGACCATAGTAAACTCACTCTTGGTACAGGTCGCAAGTCACGCCCTCTAATATCTAAACTTGACCACAGGGTGGGCCGTCTGGGCTCTAGCGCGGATGGCCAGATGGACTAATAATACAAAGTGTGCCGGATAGACTCTCAGCTACCAGGTTAACAAGTTTTGAGTTGGCAAAATTCGGTAAAAACAGTATGTGCCCCGGCAAACAGCCGGTTAGTGTGCATGGCGCATTGTAATCATCAACGCAAAGTAACTGCCCGAGCACCAATTTGTTTCGGACTTACTGGTGCCACTCCGATACCAGCGACATCCCGTTAGAAAAAACAACTAAATACTTGAATGTGTTTTAGATATTCAGGTCGCAGAGGTTATTTCATTTCCCTATAGGAGTATGGTCTTTACTGTGATGCTGCGTACACGCCATCCAGAATGAGGAAAAGTTTAACTCTGATGTCAAACAGATAACAGATTAAGAAGAAATACGAAATACGTAGACTTATTTCGGCAGCCACACCTCAGTTACAGCTAATGCAGCTGCTCATAAAAGGAAATAGCACAGCTCTCTCCAGCTGCTCATCGTCAAAGCTCAAAAGGTTGACAAGGTGCAAGTAGTCCGGGAGTATTACTCTATACTGAGAAGGGAGTAAGCACATATCGTAAGATAGAGACCCTCCAAAAAACCAGTCATGTTGGCGATGAGGTCTAGCGACTGTGAAACAGCAAGAAATATATTGCCAATCATCTGGTTGCGCTCAGGCATTATCCTAGTGAATGCATCCTGAAAATGTCCAGGGGAATACTGAAATTGAGTGTAAAAATGAGACAACACTGAGCAACGTCACTTATCACGGAATGACGTGGACAATTCGTTAAACAGCCCTACGTGATCTCAGGTGTTTGAGTACCGGGCAAGTAAGGGGTTCACATGGTTATTAGCAACACTTACATGGACGAGTCGAAAGTGTTCTTGAAATCGAAGAACACTGATAAAGCCCGTCTGAGTTATGTCTCCTTGCCGAAGCACTTAGTGAAGAGTGAAAACGACCCATGCCACCAATATATATATATATATATATATATATATATATATATATATATATATATATGCGGGATGTGCCATATCTCGAGCGGTTCCATCAGCAGTGTTTGTGACGAATTTTGCGCATCACTTGGGGAGACAGAGTTGCTGACACGGAAGTGTTGCGAAAAAGTGGAATGTATGCAGTGAAGTGCATACATTTGTTGAGACACCTGAGGTGGCTCGGTCATGTGAGCCGTATGGATTCAACGCGGATACCGAAACAACTCTTATACGGTCAGCTGAGTATTGGGAAGCGGCATGCTGGGAAACCAAAGTTACGTTACCAGGACATGATTAAACTGAGCCTCTCACTTTCTAATCTTGATTGCAGGTCATGGGAATCAAAGGCGGTTGATCGGCGTGCATGACGCGATCTAATCATGAAGGCAGTTGCCGAAGTGCGGCAGAAAGACCTCATGCATGCAGAGAAGAAGCGGCAAGCACCGATGGGTTGTACTCCATCGACATCGAGCGCATGGTGCTGTAGCACATGCGGTCGCGAGTGCCTGAGTCAGGCAGGCCTAGTGAGCCAAGGAGCGAGGCCGCTCGAGACCACTACAGAAGCGGCGACTGGTCTTGCAGAGAAGCTAGGCAGAACCGGTGCAGCGTTTGTAGATACGCTGCATTCGATTTACTAACCGCGTGCTTGCATGCTAAGTCTCTTTATTTCAGGTGGTGGGTTTGCAATTTTGTTCTAATGCTTTTCTTCCTCATATAAATGTCTATCAGTGTTCTCTTCTATAAACTTGCACACGTCGCTTAAGCCAATTGTAGTTAATTTCGATAACATTTTCGTGTTTGCGGCATTTCCGTAAAATATACTTTCTGACCTAGTGAACTTATCTCCGATTCGTTTGTAAACAACTTATTTCATATGCTCATTTTCATATGCTCATATGCACCCTTCCCTTCCGCATTGTTCGATTTATTTTATTTGTTATCTTTCTCTCAAGTGATTGATTGTTGCTTGATATCCCCCGTGTGGCTGCGCTTGATGTGCATGTTGACAAGGTGCCTACCTGTCTATTACCCACTACCTCGCCCATACTGGCTCCAGGAGGACAGTTGGTCGTTGCTGGAGGGGACGCCGTGCACGATCCTTGTGGTCGTGCTAGGTTCGAAGAGTGGTTCCATGCACTCAGTGTGGAGCGGACTACGGTCTAGCCACCGCCTTGTGTGTGCTTGATTCCCCAAATACAGCGTGCTTGTGTTTGCCTGTGAAGGAGTGTAGGCCGGCTCCGTTGATGAAACGTGGCTCCCATCCACATGCCTCCCGGTCTTATTCCTTCGGGTTTACACTGGATATGGGGTGTGTGGTTGGAGCTATGAGTGATGCAACGCAATCCACCCATGGTCCCTCTGTAAGCGCTGGCGTCCTGTGGCTGGCCACAGTGACAGGCAAATCCGAAACCGGATGCCGCCATCCATATATGCGGTAGTGGGTGAATAAAGCTAGATTTGGTTTGTCGGAGTCATGATAGCCTACACTGTTCCAATACTCCAGCAGCTGTATAGATTCGCTCACACACGCCGAGAAAATACGCAGACGCCCATAGTGTCAGGGGATAACTGGATCGCCGCTTATACGCTTCATCAGTTACCGCGCCAGTCAAGATTTAATTCAATGTGAGTCGTAGTCCCTATTGAGATTGCGCATGACAATCCATTTACAAAGGAGTGTTGCACAATGACCCCCCCCCCCAAAGCTTGGCAACAATTGCTTAAGTCATGAGAGATTACGCGATTCAGGATTCCGCTAGTCACACAGCTATGCAGGTTCATACGTAAAGGCACGGACACGTAGTACGCGAATGCCGATGCGGATAGAGGGGTAAGTTACTCACTGCCTTTGATCGAAGTTCACGATCAAGAGAAGTGTTTACTGTGGCTTCTGCTGCTTACACAAATTGGTTGCACTAGCATGAGTACAATGTGGTATGAACATGGTTCAGTCGTCTTACTCCTCATTTCTTGCTAGCAAATGGCTGATTTTCTGCTTAAAATGCAATGTCATGCAAGTCTTGCAAAATGTCCTATTTGTTTCGAGAAGTCCGAAATTGTTTCCAAAAGGTTCAGTGAAAATCGTGTAGATGGAAAAGGAAGGGACACAGGCCGGTGGCGTGCTGCTGTGTACAGCAGCTAAGGCGATGCTAGTTAACCTATTCGGTGCAGAATGAAGAGCCTACTGGAAAAATCGTGGTTGTATGTAGGTCAGGACACCCAAACCTAAGCAGAAGAACGACCAGGGTTCTCGTTCAAAGACAAAGGTTTGAAAGCCAATGGGAACAGGGACACCACAACGGTCCAATGAGGGGTCACAGAAATGTGTGCCATTCCAGTTCCAAACCCAAGTGTAAGGAAGACGGGGCATGTTTACCCTCTATCCATCGACCAATCTTGTAAGAAAAGATCGCAAGCAGCCCGATGGCAATTTGTGCAACTGCAGGATATCAGACTGAGATGTCGGCCTGCTCAACCCGTTTGGCCGAACAGGGAGAAAGTTGATAACGAGAATAGAGGAATACAAACAAACCTTCTAAACCCACTATGCATGGCCACTGGTCCCAATGCACCTCGATGAGGAAGGATACAAATTTGGTAGGGCTAAAACAAAGATTCCAACGTGTGGAGAACCATGGAAGAGAGGTTTTGCAGCCAAGAAATAAGGCAGAGAGAAAAACCTTCGTATAAAAAACAACAACAGAGGATATCGGATCAACCTTGTAACTGCGTCTTCGGTCAAAATGGCTTTGCGCCAATGTCAGTCACAGGATCCGTCCTATCTTGCAGCAAACTTCATTGCGGCCAGTGTAAGCCGCTAAGACGTTTCTGGACACAGCTGACGACTAACGCGGTTGAAAAACGATTAGTTACGTTGGAAATGCATGTGAAGGGTGATCGAGTGGCTGAAGTGGGTATCTTCGCCTAACAGTGAAACCACTGCCAGTACGTTCTGAAAACGTCGCCTTCAATGGTGACGAAACATCCGTAAGTAAATTGTCCAGCTCGGTGAATAAATCAACATGTAAACATCCCATTCAGAATTATCAATATTGCTGTTAAAGATATTAGTCCGCTAATCAACATTGCGAAACAGAACGTTTTTGAGCATCGGTGCTTGTATGCATTACTCATATCTGGTGGAAGGAAGGTGAGACATAACATTGGAATCCACAACACGGCGTCAAAAAACAGATTACCTAGTGTTACACTGAAGTGCGTTGAACCTAAATCACCCAGGCAAGTTAATTTATGCATATTGTATGCCCGTTGACCGCCTACCTAGGCGTGCAGTACAGGCCGCTGCCGCACGCAGTCGGATGAAATCCGTAGAGTGGACAGCCGTTGACATGGTAAAATGGCATGAAGCGACCGAGGCCTAGTCACATGAGCACGTGGCGTCGCAATGGATAAGAAACTAGGAATCGGCGACATCAGTGATTAGGGTTGTTGTCTGATATGGTTCAGCCGCGGATTCAACAGTGGTCCTGTATTTAGATTTCGACATTAGGCTGTTGATCCTACCCAGCTTAATTGCTAAACCCTTTGTAGGCATTTTCACGTTGTCCTCACCATTGTCGATTATTAACGTCCCAATGAATGGAGTGGTGACGCTTGGACACACCGAATGTCGGCGCTAGAGTACTAGCCGTATTAAGTGGACTGAAGCGAATCGACACCGAGATTTCACGAAAAAGAAATCTTGAAAATCGTTACAAGGTGTGTTGAGGTGGATTGGGTGGCAGCAAGACATCCTATTTCTACCGCACTTTATTCACAACTACAGAAGACGGTGGAACGGTTTCTCTCATCAGCAGTCAGAGCGCAGTTGAAAATGAAACGACTGTGACCGAGCAGAGCGAACAGTTGTTTGGACACGGAAGGTGGCAACTAATCATTGATGAAGATATACTAAAGACAGAACAGAAACTGAACCATAGGCGAATGACTGAATTGCAACGAACTTACCTCGGTAGATTTAATCAGGGCCGAGTCAGAGTGCATGGCGACGGACTGCGATGTCGAATGGCCGTTAGAGGAGCAAGAAAAAGCAGCGCTACCCAGTACAACTGCAACCTCTCCGGGAGAGGCGTCAACTGATTTTGGATCACTCAAACTGGAACCCAATCCAGAGGTAGTGGAAAGCGCGGCAGGGGAAACCGAGGAGTAGCAAGAGGAAGATGACAGACTGTAGGACGGAGGTGTAGGACCGGTGGAAGTCAGAGTCGAATTAGAACTCGAGACCAGATGGCTAGTAGGCGTTTGACTGCCAAAGTGCGCCGACAAACGGTTGAGAGTGGGCCAACTCGTAGTGCATAGAGTAGCATTTGAGAATTTCGCCGCACCATTATTCAGCACAAGTGCATTCTGTCCAGTAAAGTTGGACAACTGGGATGACAGTCGCCGTGGAGAGATTGACAGGGAATCAGAATTCTTCGATACATTCTGATGAGGTTGCAGAAAGTAGGCGAGAAAAGATGTTGACGAGGGCTTTCAGTGAGTTAAGCACATAACGGAAGGAACAAAGAATCAACCTAGAGCAATAATGGTGGTAACTTCACGATTTAGAAACAAAACAAAGGATGAATTCAGCTGCCCGTAACAATACAAGCAATTATTGGTGGACAGATGAATAATTGTCTTGCCACAAAACTTGAGGCAATTCTCATCCTCGGATGATAACCCGAGATTCAGAGATGTATGGACTAAAGTAATCAGGACATCAATAAAACAACGAGAGAAAATAATAACGGGATCGCAACGGTTACAATCGTCGAAAAGAAGCGGGACAGGAACAATAGACAAACGCAAGAAAGCCATTAAAATCACAAAGGCTATAAATTATGCTACGCTCTGTTAGATGGGCACAAAAGTACGCGATAGCACGAAACACAAGCTGCAATATAACGAACAGAATGATAGGTATAAATTTATCGGAGATCAGAGTGCTAAAAGGCGGAAATCGTTGAATGAAGAGTCAAGAGCATGCAGCGGATCAACTGATTTCGCGACAACGCGGTGAAAGATGCCGCAGAGCCGAAACCACACGCTATGAGGATCGAATGCAACAGTCCAAACAATCATCATTAACAGCACTACATCAGCCTCTTGAACTGATGCCTCGCTGTCATACAACTATACTGACCTACGGAACAAAGTACAATAGGAGGGAGAGAAGGGGACCTGACGAAAAATCTTAATCCTCTAAACAAACACAGTGTCAATGCGCCTACACCTTATGCTAACGACATAATGTCACAAGCAGCTGGCTATCATGTCAAGATAAGGTGGCGGAAACAACTTCCTTGCGGCTTTCACTGACCCGCGTCAAAATCGACCATTACCCCGCAGAAGACTCAGCACCAAACACAATTTAAACAGGCAGTCCAACTTGGAGATAGCGAACACGCCACTGGTGTCGATTGCGAGCCATGTCCTGTAACGCCTGTAACGCACAAGGTGAGTCGTGTGGACTCCAACCTGGAAAGCACCGCAGGTTCTCAATCCGAAGGAGCCAACTCTCCTTCCCATGGAGCAGGTCCCTCACTGTGGTCTTGTAAACACACGGCATTTTAGACAGAGGTAAACCCCTTTCTGATGCCACAGATGTCGCACATTCAAAGACAGTCCTAACTTTTGCAATGCGCTAACCGAGTTACGTCGTTATGCAGCCATCGTTACCGACTCAGCTACCAAGGTAGGCGAGGCGATCAACTACCCCGAGTTCCTCGCCATCAAGGATCAAAGGGTCTTCCAGTAGTTGGTGGTCCGGAGCAGCACTTTGCACTTTGAAGGTGCGAAGCGCATGTCAAATGATGAGGCCACTCTAGCGAGGTTATTCAATGTTGATTCTCCCGCGCCAACACCAATAAAAAGCCGGACAATGTTGTCAGCATAATCAAGATCAACTAGCTTTTCAGCAGACACAACCTCAATGCCTTCAGCCTGAGGCTCCGCAATCGAACACTCCATGATGCAGTCCACGACGAAATTGGCAACCCTGACGAACGCCATTTGTGTCGTAATGGTATCCGACAAATCACCGTAGACCTGACGCGGCCTATGGTGTTTGAGTACAGGACACGTAAAATGTTCACATATTTCATGGAAACACCGTTCTACATGAGTAATTCAAACAAAACACATCGGTCGACTGAGTGGAAAGCACTCCTGAAGTCCAGGAACACAGTAATTGTCAGGTTGCGGTACGTGTAACGCGGTAACGTGTACCGGAAAGTGAATATGTTGTCTATACAGCCCTGTCCTGTGAGTAAACCTGACTGCTCTTCCTTAATCCGGGATTCTCGCTCCGCAGTGCGGGGACGAACGCGGTTTGAGGCTAGTAATTTTGTCACAACCGACGTTAGGCTAATACGCCAGTGATTAGCACAGTTGGTGCGACTGCCCTTCTTTTATATCGCCATTATAACTGATTCACTCCAGTTAGCTGGAATGGCCTCTGCTTTCCAGACCCGTTCAAACAGTGAGGTCGATGCTTTGCACAGGACCTCACTGCCATCCGCAAACAATGTGGGTGTGAGGGAATCTGGGTCACCATCACGAAAACGATGGAGGGCTGTGGTCGTGATTCGAACCTCAGTCACCGATAGAGCCTCTAAACTAACCGGCTATGGCTCAGCCTGAACCACTTGAGTAGGGGGACAGCTGAACTGATCTCGAAAGTATTGCGCGGAACGAGCCATACGGCACTCGTTATTGTAATCCATGGCACCCACGGTGTGTCTGATTCCCTCACTGATACCTGGTTTTCTGAGACAAGTGATGTGGATCAGTTGAAAAAGCTTGCGATTATTGCTTCTGCTTCCTCTATTTCTTTAGCCCTAGTAGTCCGCTAGGCTCCCTTGTCAGCATGTATGCTCCCATTTAGTTCACGCCTAATGGTCTGTCTGGTTATATTGGTTCTCAGAGCCGGCCGGGAGATTTCTTTGGGATTCCAACAGGTTCACTGACTTATCGGGTATCCAGTGACTGATGCGGTGGCGATTGGTAGTGCCGCAATCAGAAGCTCCTGCATGGTGCGTGGCGGCCGATACCCTATTCCACCGAAGCTTAATGTCATTAGGACAAGATTGCGAAATTTCGTGCGCAGTGCATGTTGGTAGGTTTGCCTGACCGAGGGCTGAGATAATTTCTCAGTTGCCAATCGAGGGAGACGTTTTATGCGCCTCCCGGTAAAATTCATGAGAACAACGACGCAAGTACTCGAGAATGAGCGACAATTCAGGATGGAATCACGCCACATGTAACTTGTGGCAATGTGATCGATCGGGGTCTATCGCTGGCCAGATACAGTAAGATGCGAAGTGGAACTTCGGCGTCCACCGTCAAAAAGCGGTGCTACTAAGAACCGGTGCTCAGCACAAAGCTGTCACAGACTCTCGTCCTTGACCGCACGGTTCATACTTATCACGTAGCTGAGCCTCTGAAGAGCCCAGATGATCTACTTGCGCATTCATATCCCTTGCGAGAACTATGACATCTGAACTGGTAACACTGCGTAGTAGCGTGCTCCGTTGGTGGTAGAGAGCGCCCTTCGCAGCATCAGAACTGCAGTTGGTGGGGGCAGAAGCGGAAACTGAAAACAAGCAGCGTCTACTGCTACTTCGTGAACCAACCTTACTCGATGTCATCAAACGGACTGCACGCAAATGGCTGTTCACGGGAACCCGAGCAAACAACGATGACTCAGCCTTAGAGCTGGGAACAACGCCCACCCCTACTTGACCAGTGGTTGCTGCATCAGTGTCTCCGGATGCGTGCAACCCACAGCGAGTGGACGAACCGGGCGCAGATAATTCAACAACCCCGTGAGAGCCATTGATACTAGTTTCAGACACATAACACACGTCGATATCCAGGGTGTCTAAAGTGCCAGCGAGTATAGCCTGCTGACCACTTTATCATAGAGTGCAAACATTGAACGCCGCCAGGGAAACGGGACAGCTTGGCCTTATAAGGGACTGTTGCCGATAGGCGTCCGGTGGGTGTTGTGGGAAGATGGCTGCAGATGCTGTGTCATACGGCTGCTGTCAATTAAGCTGGGAAATATAGAAGGAAGGTTAGTAATGAAAGTCGGGAGTAATAAAAGCAAGTGGAAAAGAAAGAAGTTGTCAGCGGTAGCATGTTTTCCCCTGTTGTATGCAGCAGATAAGGCGACCTTTTCTAAGCTGCGCGATGGCCGGTGCAGGATATGGCTGAAGTTTGAAGTGGTCTAGCTAAAACTCTCCAACACACACGACGCTAATAAATAAATAAATAGAACTAGACACAACATTAGATGTATGATCAAGCTGTCGGATAGTCTTCCAACCAAGCAAAATATCCCAAGACAATACGTATACAGATTTGCAAGCAATATGTACACGGATATAACTAAAACAATGCGGATGATAAGAGTCCGCCAGAGTCCTACTAAATATGAGCAACACTGTGTACGCGCCGATTAACCCAGTGGATTAATTATGATCTGAGCACCGAAGTGTGGTGGATCAAAATAAGCACAGGAAAGAAAAATCATACTAAAAGTTTTAGAAGCTAAATAGCCGTCTCTAACCCGTACACACACAGCGCTGCACAGTGTCATGGGCTGATAGACCGAAAACCAAAGACATAGGAGAATTCGAAAAACAAAACGAGCAGCGCGAAAGCGTGTCGCATCGATGTGTCCTTTGGGACTGTCTGTTAGGGAAAGATGGGCCCGACAAATACCTAAACGTTATCAGAGCGGTGTACGCGCATACTTCGGGCAGAGTGATGGTTTATGGCAAACTGTTGCCGCCGTTCAATATCTCCAGGTGTGAGAAAAGGTTGCCGGCGGTCACCTTAGCTTTTTAACTTCGATATCGACGAAGTCATGGGAAGAGCAGTCGCCGGTCACGACCTAGGAGGTGTGGAGCTGCCTCTTAGTGAGCAACTTCTTGACGTTGAGTTCGTGAACGACCGGTCTACTCTGTGACATCTCCCGAACGTGCCAAGTTGCACCGGATAAATTCGCTCTGGCTGTCAGTCGTTTTGAACTATGATTTGCAACCTCCAAATGCAAAGCATTCATCCGAGATTGGCAAGTACCCACCCTTGCGTTGACTCCTGGTAGTGATCAGCTAGAACTCGGAGAGAAATTCAAGCATCTGGGCAGCCACATTAACTGCCTTGGGATCGAAAATAAATATCACCACCGTACAGTAAAAGCTCGAGGCGCTTTTGCCAATCTCCGCGACATCACTCCTGCCCTGAAGGGGGGAGTACACAATGCTTTCGCCTTTTCAATCCTTCGGTATGGGTGTGAAAGTTGGCACAACAAGTCGTCAGATATAAAGAGGCGAGCTACGTTCGAGCATTGCTATGTTCGTAGCATAGCTCATGCCTAGAGGGAACATTGCTAGAGCAATGAGCGAGTTAAGTGTCGTGATTTGGAGCAGCAAGAGCGAGTGAACCGTTCAGCATCATTGTATCACGCTCCAGACTCAGATAGCTGGACCATGTGTTGCGCATGCTAGCACACACTTAGCAATCGTGATTTCATTCCCGACGCATATCATTACTTGCTTTCTGGTTTTTATTTTGTATTCTGTAATAACTTATACCTCACTTTATTATATATACCATTTTTTGTATTGCAGCAAAACAGCTACTGTGTAGTGATGATAACGATGATGCTGTAGTGCCGTGGCTGAACAACAAAGGAGGTGCAACAACTGCGAACAGCTATTCGAGGATAATAAAAGGTGACTCGGTACGAAGTGAGAAGTAGGGTAAAAGTAACAGAAGTGTTTGACATAATGAGAACCCGGTTAATCGAACTGCGCTAATGATGTAATGTCTGCTTTTGACATAATAAATGATAATGTAAAGGAATGAACCGCCTGAAAACGTAGTACACCTATAAGTGCTGAGGGGTGTACACAACTCACCTGTTTTCCCGTGTGATTCAAATCCCACCTGGGTTCAGAACAAGTGGGAGAGATATATGGCTGAGGTGTTTGGTTGCATCGATCTGAGGCGTTGGGTGGGGTGAGATCTGAATTATGATCATCCTCACTGCTGACGGAATGATCTGGAAGCAAATTCGGCAACAGCTTGACGGGAGGCGCGGCTTTAGTCCTTAAAGGTTTGGAACCACGAAACTTTGGAACCGACATATTTCGGGAACGGTTATGAATCGAGAGGTTCTGTGGTCCCATAGGATGGTTCGAAAAGGAAGAAATCCTTGATGGCGAGGGGATTGTTGAGGGGCTGGATGAAGAGAGTTCAGACGAAGGTGATGTAGAATGAGAGAATGCAGAAGAGTCGCTGGAGTCAGAATCACAAAGCGAAGATAGTGGAGAAGATGATCTTGTGAGGTGAGGGGAGTGATTGTAGAATATCGCTCTTGAGGAGCAAGGAGGATTAGATGAATCAGTGAGCTGTACTGATGAAGGTATAGGCAGTTGGTCAGTTTGCTGTACGCTGGGTGCCTTCAAATTTTCAGTATCATGGGAATGACAGTCAGCATGAAGACCGGAATCCGCAGTATTTCTTCTTGAGAGTCGATCCAGGCGCTTAGAACGATTGCGTGATCTGCTTGAGGAGGATAAGGAGGAGACAGAGGATAATGACGAGAGCGTACAAACGGGGCCATCAAGGGACGACGTATCCGCTGGGACGGTCGCACAGCCTGAGGAGACACCAGATAGGGCTGAAGAGGAAGAAGATGCACTCGGTTTTATCTTAAGCTTAGTGCAGGTACGATCCCTTGATAAACCGTAGGAAGTATGCCGTCGATTAATGGGGAACGATGTGGGAGGTGGATCATCTTTCGGTGGAGGAAGGGGTTTTATCCGAATTACGGTTTTCGACACAGTAGGAAAGAGATCAGAGCCCTTATGCATTGCGCTGGCGTGGAATATATTAGGATCTGAATTATCGCCTCGGTGGGTTTTGAGATTTTGCTCAGCAGAAGCTATGCCATCATCGTTGCACGGAGGCTTTCGGGAGTTACCCTTCGGATCGATGGGGCCAACGTGATGAACATCAATCAAGTTTGCACAGCTTCCTGCAGATGATGAATTCGCTGATAAAAGAAAGTAAGGACCATCAAGTTAATGTAGTTTGTGGAAATAACTAGTGGACAGGGGTGCATCTACGTGACATAATGCGGGAATCTATCGCAAACGCATCCAAAGATACATAACTGCCTGTTGACCATGAAACTTTGGATGTATGAGACTAGCGGTCGCGAGTGGCCCGAGACTTCGTTAACTTTGCTATTAACTCAAGTGATTGATGTCACATCGTTGTGACAACTGGGCGATAGGCTATGCATATATTCAATAAGAATCAGTAGGGTTTGGTCATAAACTATCTGTTAGCACTAGTTATTCCGAAAAGCTCCCGAACTATCAGTGAGGAAACTTTCCTCCAGTTCCGCTCACACCACAGTACCTTTGTATTCTGGCAAGAATAACTGTGACACCTGTCATCCAGCCATCCTTCCCTTTGATCGCTAAGACGCGCGTGGGCTAACCATACTGTGAGGATCGCCCGGTCCCGTGGGCAGACTCGAATCCGCGCCCACGGATTATAAGGCATGCTTGGGGTCCTTTAGGCCACAGGCTGGCATAAATAGAAGGAAACTATGATTACCTCTTCCACTTCGTATTCTAGAAGCTAATGACCAGATGGAGATGTATACCGCTAAGTTGGATGGACTGTACAGAAAACCAAAGCGAAGTAGTCGGTAACGGTTTCTGTTGGACTGCCGGGCTGAAAGCATCCCAACATGAGGAACCATACTCCCGTGGAAGAAAAGAACGCCATCACATGACATGCTTTCTCAAACGGTTGAAATTGTATCCAAGTGCAACCGCTGCACGATGGGGAACAAATGTCTACCCGTGGTGCACAGAACGTAGCGGTTCAGCGTACCAAAAATGGCATATACGAGTTAAAGGCAGGACACAGCAGACGTGCTAACATGCCGGCAAATACAACTAAGTAACCCAAATTCGACAGACGGATCGTGTGATTTTATTACATCCGTCGCAACGAGACTAAACCTTAACGTGGTGCGACGATTTGTGCACTTCATTCACCCATTGAGCTATACTGGGTGATGCCTCCGGGCAACTAGAGAGCTACTCCTACCAGGTTGGTCACTGGTGAGAGATCAGATAAGCTCAGTCTCCTGGTCCTCCAGGTTGGGGGTTTGAAATGGGATGGCGTCCATTTCTGTAAAACTAAATCACTGCCACATCCCCGCTGCCTTGCGGACAGGCTTTCGAGCGAAATGCTTTGGATGAGGACCCTAATCGTCCTCCTGTCTAGGTCTGGGCGCCCTGGCAGTAGCTCAGTCTACATATAACCATGACATTTTCTTCAAACAAACTTCATTCTGCATCGGCCGTCGAGCAGCTTAGCAAGAGTCGCCTTACCTGCTGCCTACATCAGGGCGGATAAGCGAAAACATGCTACTGCTGGTGCATCCTTTCTTTTCCACCTGTTCTTTTCCACCCCAAACCCCAACACAAGTCTTACTTCTAAAATTCCAAGCTTAACTGACAGCAGATGCAATGCCAACGAATAGCCACCATCTGCAGCTACCTTCCCGCACCACTCATAGGATGTCCATCGTCAACAGCTACTCATAGTGCCACATTGTTCCGATTCGTCGGTGGAGCTTAAGGTTCCCACTCTACAACAACTAGGTCTACAGGCTCCACTAGCACGCACGTAGGACACACAGGGTATTTAAGTTGGCTGCCGGAAACTATGATCAATGAATCTCACGGGGTTGTTGCACTAACTACGTCCGGTTTGTCATCTCTAGGTTGTATGCATTCGGAGACGCTGATGCGGCAACCACTAGTCAGGTGGAGGTGGGCATGGTTCTCAGCCCCAAGGCCGTCATTGCAAGTTGATTGGATCCCTAGGGGCAGCCGTTTGTGTGCAGTCCGTTTGGGCCCCATCAAGTCAGGGTGATTCCCAAAGTAGCACTAGACGCCATTTGTTTGCAGTTGCTGCTTCTGCTCCAAGCAAATGCTGTTCTTACGCACTCACGGATATCTGTCATGAACTGAACACGCTGCTTCGCAGTGTTACCAGCTCAGATATCGTTGCAGGGAAAATGAATGCGCAAGTAAGTCGTCCAGGCTTTTCAGAAGCTTAGCTACCTCGTAAGTATGCACTTAACTCCGATCGTACGAACAATGGTGTCTGTTACAGCTATGTGCGAAGCAGCAGTTGTTTCTTATTAGCATCGCTTTTAGACACAGTGAGCGCCGAAGTGCCACTTGGGGTCCTCCAGTAGCAGACTAACGATGGACCCAAATTGATCACATTGCCACAAGCTATAGGTGGCGTGGTTGCATCCTGGATTGTCGTTCTTTCTTGAGCATTTGCATCGACTCTGATCACGCCTTCCAACACTCTCATATTTTTCGTGAGCTTTACCGGAAGGCGCATAAAGCGCCGGTCAAGCAAGCCTACCAACATGCACTGCGCACGAAATTTCGCAATCTTGTCCTAATGACATTAGGCTTCGGTGGAATAGGATATCGGCCGCCATGCGCTATGCAGTAGCCTCTGATTGCGGCACTATCAGTCGTCACGGCCTCAGTCACTGGATATCCGATAAGTCGGTGAACCTGTTGGAATCCAAAGGAAATCTCCTGGCTGTAGTGGTAAGATGCTAAACTGAACATGCCGCTTGTTTATCGAACGATCGAGCTTAACGATTTTGGGTTAAGAGCCTGAAATCTGGTCGATCGCTGCAGAGGCGAACTGAAGGATAGCACACAATCGATTTGGATCGACATGAACGAAGCTCGAACGCTGGCCAAGAGTGTAATAGCAAGGAGATGTTTTCTACATCAGTGAGTAGTTCTAATTGACGAGATATAAAATGAGCTTGCGTTCTATGAATAATAGACTTCAGATCGAGGCCCAGACTTTGACTTTTTGCTTCACGGTGGGTCACTTGACACAGGCTGGCTCAGAAAAACCAATGTAATCAAACGGACCATTAGGCGAGAACTAAACCGGAGCATACATGCTGACAAGGAAGCCTGGTGGACTAGTAGGGCTAAAGAAATAGAGGAAGCAGAAGCAATAATCGCAAGCTCTTTCAACTGATCCGCAGCACTTGTCCCAGAAAACCAGGTATCAGTGAGGGAATCAGGCACATCGTGGGTGCCCCGGATTACAATAACGAGTGCCGTATGGCTCGTTACGCGCAACACTTTCGAGATTAGTTCAGTTATAGGCCCGTAGTTTAGATGTAACGAGCTTGTTTCGTAATCTTGCGGCGGGATTTCGAGTCCGCGTAGGGGTGGGCATCCTCGTGGTATACTCAGCCTGCGTGTAAGTGGTGGTGATCGCACGGCAGTGAAGCGCCGTTACGGCGTACAACTGACACATTATTATTATTATTACTATTATTATTATTATTCAAATTTTTCGGGCTGAGCCGTGGCCGGTTAGTTTAGAGACTCTAAAGGAGGCTGAGGTTCGAGAAGCGATCAGACCCCACAATCGTTTTCATGATACTGGCTCGGATTCCGTCACACTCGCACTGTTTAAGGATGGTGGTAAGGTCTTCGGCAAAGCACCGACCTCCCTGTTCGGACAGGTCTGGAAGGCAGCGGCCATTCCAGCTACCTGGAGTGAGTCAGTTGTAGTGGCGAGATAAAAGAAGGGCAGCCGCACAGAGTATGCTAACCACAGAGGCATTCGCTTACCGCCGATGGTGACAAAAATATTAGCCTCGATTCTTGTTCGTCACCCCATTGCGGAGAATCCCGGAGTAGGGAATATCAGTCAGGTTTCTTCACAGGAAAGGGTTGTATAGACCAGATATTCACTATGCAGCAGGTGCTAAAACAGCGCCACACATACCGCAGGCTGACACTGGCTATATTCCTAGACCTCGGTCGATCAAAGCTAGTTGAAATACCTGCGGTGAAATGTGCTCCCATGAAATATGTGAACATGTTACGAGCTCCATACTCGAACACGACAGGTCACATCAGCACCTAAGGAGACGTGTCGGATAGCTTCCCGACAGGTGGCGTTTGTCAGGGCTGTGCAATTTCCACATTCTTGCTTAATTTTGTCGTGGACTGCAACATAGTGTTCCCTTGCGTGATCTCATGACGCAAGCGCTGAGGTACTGCTTGGTAAAAAGCTAACTGACCTTGCTTATGCGGATGACGTTGTCATGCTGGCTCAGTCAACCTTAAATAGTGCCTAGTGTGGTTCCATCATTTGGCATGCGCTTCGCACCTTCAAAGTCCGAAGTGTTGTTGCAAGGCCACCAGCCACCTGATGACTCTGAGGCTTGATGAAGAGGAAATCGAGGTAGTTAATTACTTCACCTGCCTTGGTGAATGCATCGGCAACAATGAGCACAAACTGCTGAAGTCAGTTCATGTACTGCGAAAGCCAACACTGCCCTCTTGTATCTGCGACATTTGTGGCGTCAGAAAGGAGTTTTCCTCAGTCTGAAAGGCCGTGTGTACTATGCCACAGTTAGGGCCATCCTACTCTAATGGGGGCCTCTTCGGTCTCAGGCTCTGAAGCGCCTCCAGGTCATTGCTGACTGAGAAGCACTGCTGCTGTCGGATGGACCCAGCGGGTCCGCAACAATGTTGTGTGCAGACGTGTGTTAGACGGTCATAATCTGACTAGTTCCTTAGAACAACAGATAGCACTGAATAAGCTGCGTTGGCTTGCTCACGTATTACGTATGCGCGGGCACTGCTTATCGAGAAGGGCGTTGTTTCGTTTCCCAAAGGTAAGGTAACGCAAGGCTCGAGGCGGGCAAATGTTAATATGGCAGCGGAAAATTAAGTCACTAACGACCAAACTGGATGACGTCGGTCCGTCTCGCCTTCTAGGTTGGAGTTCACGCGATTCGCCTTGTGTTTGGCTTGAGACGTTACAGGACATGGCTCGCAGTCAAGATCAGTGGTGCGTCTGCTGCCGTCTAGTCGTACGCCTGTACAAAAGGTACTTGATGCGGAGTTATCTGTAGGGTAATGGCTGATTATGATGTAGTGCAGTGAAGGCCGCAAAGAAGCTGTCTCGTCGACGCCGCCTTACCTTGACAGGATAGCCAGCTGTTTGTAACGGTACATTGTTGACAAGTTGTAGGCGCCTTCTTCTTCTTCATCAACAACATAGCTGAGAGTGAGAAACACACCTCAGCTAATGTGCCGCAATACGAAAAGATCAGATTGTAGACGCCTTGACTGAAAGTTTGTTTAGGTCGCTAAGGTTTTATGCTAGGTCCTCGTTCTCTCTTTGTCATTATTTTCCCCGTAGGTCGTCGTGGTTGTACGGCAACGAAGCATCAGTTCTAATGAATGATGTGTTGCTGCTTCTAATACTACTGCTACTGCTGACGATGACATTGTCAATGAATTTCCGTATCGAAAAATGGATAGAACAGAAAACATAAGATGATTGAACTAATCCAATGTTCGCTGTTTTTTGACCAAGTACATCTAAATGAAGAGATTCAGATCGATTGCTGAATGTCCTACCGGCCGCAAACTCAAGCATATTAATTTTGTCTTCTCAAATTTAATTCGCCCGCTCCTAACAAGTAAAGCCTTGAATCGACAGTTAATAGGAAATGGAGCCAAGATTACGAAATAAAGCATAAACCTGAATGCAGTATGCTATCTACGGCTAGTAGATTGGTTTCAAAGCTGTCATCTAGTCGATTTTCTGGGAAACGAGCGAACCGAATGGTCTTGACTGTTAGCACACCTGAAACATTGCTCCTAGTCTAATTTTCTAAGCATCCCACTAATAATACTACCACATAGACACGTTGCTGTAACAATCACAACTATAAAAGATTCGCTGGAGGTGGTTCATAGTAATGTGACCAGGGTTTAATAGGTGCCACATACGTGAATGAAACGGTGCACTGATTGAGTAGAAAACGTGTGAACGAACGGGTGACCTGAGGGACATTTCCGTTGAGGAAGCGTAGCAGCACTAGGCTTGACCCAAATCCCATGTATTGCGAAAACATGCTTGATATATGCAGCAGACGTGGAGTAAGTCTGCGAATGTTGTGCTGTTAGGTGTGCATGCAGATCCTTATTCGAGGCCGTATACTACATCCCGGGTGCGCATAGGTTACGATCTATACAAATTCGCATAATAACTTGTGGCTAAACTCGGATTACATTGAATCAAATGGGAAAGATTATGTAGAAACAGAAGAGGAAAAACAAGCTTACCACTTGGTGATGTGGATTCGCGCTTCGACTTTTTGCCCCCGTGTGAAGAAATGGATGACAGAGCTGGTTTTCGGCGCTTCCAGTGGGCAGGTTGTGTAGACATAGAACTTTCGGTGCTCGTCGACTCATATTTCGATCCGGCTCTTCGTCTACCACAGAACTTGGTCTGCCTACTGACCATAGAATCAGAAGTGGGGAGTTCGGCCGAACGTGATAGTGTAAGGTTGACATCCTTTGTAACAACGGAAGAACTCCGGTCGTGGGCACTTTGGTTGGCTTTATACTCTTCGGCCTCATCCAAGGCCTTTTTTAGCGATGGAGTCATTCGGAGGCCAAGGTCTGGAGCAGTGAAACTCATATCAAACGCTCGTGAACGAGGAACGAACTCGCGTTCGTGGCGTCCCCCAAAACACACCACTTCGTACCCCTCAGAACTTTCGTATAGCATCTTACATGGACGGAATGACCAACCATTGTGCTGAAACCAGAGAAGGCGGTGGGGTTTACGACAAGCAGCTGTCATGCGGGAGTGAGAGGATAAGGTTGACGGTCGGATATAGCAGTCAATGCAATAAGTAGATTCCCTCATGGCTCGCTTCAATTGAGAACGGATTTGTCGGGCCATGTTAGAGATGATATGTTTACTTCCATAAAAGACCGCAGCATTGTGTACCAGAGTGTCCAAATCAACCAAAAGACTGGTACGGTTTTGGTAGCCATCATCGGATCTAGGATCAGCGCGAAGCCGATCAGCAATCAGTTTCGTATTGATCTGCTGATAAACTAGGTACTCGTTGCGCAAGGGTTCGAATAAATATCCAACCTTTTGCATCGTCTTCCAATGTACCCGATTTCTAATACAGTCTAAAGCAACAGAGAAAATTTTTTGAAGGTCTTTGACGGAAGCAGAATCCGAGCCCACGGGAAGAACACGTTGAAGACGTTTGCAAACTGGACACGGATGGGAGGGCGGAGCAGTTGTATTAAGCTCAGTTTGTGTGCCCACAGTTGGATCTTCCACGGGAAGGCGGCAAGACCAGTGAGATTCACACGCTGCAGATATACAGTCGGGGTGATAAACGCGAAAACACGTTGGGCAGGGTACGACGAGTCCTGGTCCGTGACATTCAAAGCAATACCTTGAAAGAATCCGAAAATAAGAATGTTACAGTATGATTGTGAAGAAAAAATTGAATCAATCAGAAAAAGATCAAACTAAGACACAAATGAGGTGATACGTGTCAAACACCGGGACTATACGTCATAGAAAGGGAAAAAACATCATCAGTATGCCGGTGCGCAGTACCGACGCTTCGCCGCCATGCAACCACCCCCAGTTACGCGTGAGCTAAGGGAAAGGTGAGGGTTGCCCCGCCCTCTACGTAGGCTCGAACCGGTGAAGAGTGGGTTGCAAGGCAGATGCCATGTCTTTTCCGTCACAGGTCGGCAGACTGACAGTTTTCCGTTGCTGTTGGTCAAAAGAGCCCGTTGAAAACTGACCCATGTAGTTTTACTGGCGCCGAAAACCGAGAGCGCGCCGAAAGTGGTTGATAAACCAGTGGATCAAACCCGCTAGATTTAAGAACTCTACAAGAAAGGACAGTGCGCGTTGCTTATTCGCTTATAACCAAGACAGCCAATACATTATTGCAACCAACATTCGGTACGATAGTGGAACTTATTACGAGAACATAAAAAACGGGGATAGAGAGAGAGCTTCATCTAAATGCAGTGGATACATGTGTGAGCACACATATGTACATGTACATCCGAATAACCAAGTTTCGAGTTAACATATTAGCTGTACTTTTCACCCAATGTATTACTGTGATAGAAAATCAGCAAAACTTATTTTTCGGCCATTGAGAGTTTCGGCTGTCTTCGGAGCCACCTCGCTAAAGAAACGATCCCGAAACCGATTTATAAAACAAGGACAGAAATTGGTAAATTTGAATCGGTAAAGATCACACCAGTTTTGCAAGAGGAAATGGGGAAGAACGGGTAGCAACTGGGAACGTCTGTTGACCCGGGATATTACAGTCGCAAAAACGTGCGTGCTAACGAACGTCCCACAAGGAAGGTTAGTTCAACAAATCTCATAACAAAAGTGAAGTTAAGTGATGGGAGATGCGTACAAGTCAAGATCGAACACATGAGACGCCAATGAATGAATCAGTAGGTCCGATTGTGTGTGCTTCGGAGACAAGGCACACCACATCCACTCGAATACAGAGCTCAAGTGCACCGATGTGATACAGAGAAAGGAATCCTTAAGCGGAAAAGCGAAATGTCACTCGGGTAAATTCCCACAAATAGTGCACTACTGGCTCATCACCGTAACAACACGTCAATGCCAGGCGCAATCCGGAACTCAATGAGTTGTGTTGAGTCGGCAGGTGACCGAAGTAATAAGGCGCAGGCGCAGGATCATCGGTCCGAATAAGTGTAAATGGGGGTGACTTCGTAGCATTCGCCAATCCATGCGCGACTGGGGGGTCCACGGGGCAGCGATATGTCGGTACGACGTGCCGCGTACTGTTGATGCTTTTCACTTTCTCCTTCTCAACTAGATTCGAATTCAAGCTCATTTGCTTAAGATAGTGGACAAATTAGAAGAGAACAGCAAAGGAAATGAATGGTAGGAGTTCATCACATCTAGACTCCGAGAGCTATCATAAGTTTAGAAAAGCACTACGCAACTGTTGCGTCCTTTCGCGAGTTGTCACTAGTGCGTATTCCATCTGGTCCCTATGGAGCTAGAACCCGCCAACTGACTGTTATCAGCCAGTGGTGAAAAACACTGGGCTACGGTGGACAATAACAGCCGACATGATTAAGTTACTAGATGCAATATAGCGCCGCTCACTATCCACCGACTTCCACGTTACCGCTGTGCAGAGAACGGAGACAGAACACCACCTCTACCCCAAAGTACGATTTCTAGTGCCGATTCTAGCCCTGACAGTGTAACCGCAAGCAGTTGCATGGTAGCGAAGTACCAAATAGCTCAATGATTACAGGTTAGACCAACTTAGTCTCACTATTCACTTCGTGTGTTGGGGAGAAATCGATGGCCATCTACGCTTAAAATTTAGCCACGAAATAGAGCATATGACGGGTTATAAGCTAATATCACGATTGACGTAGAGCACGATTGTCACCATCGGTGAGACGGCACCGCCCGGCGCTCAATGAATTGCTACCGCCCGCCCTAAGCCAAGCAGTCCCTGGTCAAAGCAGTGCAAACCAACCAACGCTAACTTGCAAATAGCAGTTGGAGCAGGTGTGCAGCACAGTGAGGTCACAAAACATGTAATCTGCAGTAAATCTTTAAAGGATGTGACTGGCTTCAAGTATATATATATATATATATATATATATATATATATATATATATATATATATATATATATATATATATATATATATATATATATATATATGGTGGGAGAGCCTATGGTGCGCTGAGGCTGGTGGTGGCTAGATCCTGACAGATGGTCTACCCACTGCTGCTACTGTTGTGCCATTTGCTCATGTCCTGGGCGCCTCCTCGTGGCGACCGCTGGGGGGAATTGGGTTTCGCCCTTCTCCCTGCTAAGATTCAGGACACCAATCCGCATGAGTCAGTGAACTGACCATGTGCTAGACCCGCTGCCTTTCGGGTGTTTATTTAATCGAAGGCTTTGGCTGAAGACCCGAGTCGTCCTCCTATCAGGTGTGTGCGCCCTGCCAGTATCCTACTCCATCTTCTTCGGAGGCTAGGAAGTGGCCGATGGCCCCCTTCCCATATATATGGCGTAAAAGGGGAAAACAAAGTCCAATAGTGGGAGAAAAAGATGGAAGCATGTGCGTGTTACACATGGCATTTTGTGCTTTTTGAGTTTTTTAATGTTAGACGTTAATAAATGATGCGGTTGAACAAGATTATCGCCACTGATGTCTGTTGCGCGCCAGAACCTCCAGCGTTTCCATTCATTGGCAGGCCGAGTAGTGTGGTCCCCATTCTGGAAGACGGACCGGTTCAACTGGATGCAACGCTTGAGGTTGCCTTCTTCATGCTCCCCAGCGCGGCACTTTTTCCAACCGCTTCCGGGGAGCGCAGATAACGCTCGACGGGGAAGGCGATAGGCCAGCATGTGTACTATGTCGCCGACCCAAGGCAAATCCCAATGAGTCTATGCTATCACACTTCAGAGATGGACTTGCTCTCCACTGTCTTGTGGGTCACAATATTGCGCCTAGGGTTTCGGGTCTCTCGAACCTCAACATCTAATGGGTCGAACTGTTGAGTAAGAGGCTAGAAACAAGGTATCTCGGAATACATTTGGGGAGAGGATCGTCACCATTTCTAACTCCATCGCTAATACTACGTCTTTTAGTTGCTTTCTCCCCCCCACAACTCTCCTTTCGCCCGTCTATTGAGTCGGAGACGGTGGTTGACCTAGAAGTTGCTGCCATCGATATATGTAACTCGTAGAGCAAAACTAGAGTCGCATTTCACATTGTTTCCTTTAACATCTGCATTCTGGGTAAGTTCGACCAACAGGCAGCACTTACTCTCACTCTTCACTCTCCTGTTATTGATGCGTGATGCGATTCTGAAACACGCATACAAGCTACCACCGTCATGACGTATCCCTAATCCTGGTTCTGAATCTACCGACAATGACTACACTTCGCGTCTTTGGCGATACTGACACAAATGGCTTAAAGTATCGACATCCCTTTAACAAACATGCTGAAGTCAATCTACTTGACGGTTTACTAGTGAACAAGCATGCTGGCTCGTAACGTTAAAGATCACAAGCCTGCTATGCGACCCGAGGGCGCGGGTTCAAGCCTCCGTAGGGTTCGGGAGACTGTTGGTGGTTTCGCGGCAACGAAGCGTCGACACTTCGGACCGCCATATTGCTGGTGCCTTAGTGAACAAACGCATGTGTACACCTCGACTATAAAACCGCTATTGGGGTAAGTGAGCGCCGTCTGAAGACAAAGTGCCTTTACATCGTTTACGTTTATGCCCCCACTAACTCCGGAGGAGTTCTATTATGAAACCTGATCCCCACTCCGTATAGCGAAAAATACTGACATCGTGATTGTTGCTAGTGACTTGAAAGCCTAAGTCGGCTACTTTTCGGGCTCTGAACAACGCCCGGGAGAATGCTTCAGGGTCGACGCTCGCCGAACAAATAATGGTAATTGATGCCAGAAAGTAGGTGCCTACTAGAATCTCTACCTTAGCAGCACTGTGTCCGGGAGAAAGTATGGTCTAAAAAATTCACTATTTTAGCGATTAATCGATTATTAATAATTATCACATCGATTTCGAACGTTCTGGAACGTTCTAGTTTATGCACTGACTAAAAACCACCTGACACCTAGGCCAAAGCTATGGGGAACCACTAACCTTGGCAGCTGACCTTCGAATTCGAGAGGTTGAAGGTCAGTAAGAGACCTATAAATACAACCAAGGTCCGTGGTAGTTGTACAGTGTTTGATGACGGCAGTCAATACGTTATTTTGTCAAGGTCATTTGCGTTTTGCTTTCTTCTTCGGCTGGGCTAGAAGTTTTGTGGGGCCATAAAGTGTCAATTTCGGAATCGTGTCTAGTGAGAAGATTATAACACTGCTTTCCCGCACAAACGTCTATTTGCGCTCACCGAATTTCTCGATAACCTTGATCTAAATTGAGCATACTGATATCAGTCACTGATGGTGCACACCAATTCAAGACTGTCAATTTGGAGTAGGCGCCAGGGTTCCGACTATTCTTTAGTGCGCGCACGCCTGGCGCTCACTCTCTGAAGTCACTCTACTGTGACTCCAAAGGCCGGGTGGGGGTCTACGGGAATCTGTCTCCTAAGTGCCTTACGACAAATGGGACTCGAAAGTTGCAATATATCTTCTTCCCTCTTCCTTACCTCTTTTGTGATCTAAGATGATCAAGAATGACTGTTATGCCAGTACCTTTCGGAATGGAAGGTCTGTATGGCGGTAGGCTGAAAAACCCGGTGTATGCGGACGACAACTCCTTGAGTCGGACACGGTGGCTACATGATTACTACTGAATAGACTGACGCGTAGCGATGCACAATTTGACATGTGCTTTGTACCTAAGTGCAAGGTAAAGTTACAGGAC